AGTGTGTTCACAAAATTTTTATATTCTTCTATCTCACAAGCTGGATATAAATAATGTAAATTTAACTCTATTTACATGTTATTAAAAATACACGGAAAAATCGGTTTTGCTAAAATATTTAAAAATTTAGCTGGATACACAGACCCGAAAATGCATCAAAGTAATTATGTATATGGAATGCTTAAATTGGTTGGTAGAATATCAAAACTTTTTGTAACATTGTTCATCATGTTTGAGATTCCTACGTACCTAATTAACTTGGATAGGCCAAAATTTTCAGCTTTGTAGTTAAATTTTTAGATACTTCTTTTAGCAAAATCGTTATTTTTCCATGTATAAAAATAAAATGTTTTTAAGGTGTTTATTTGAGCACTTCATCTACCTTTATTTAAAAGTTAACAGGTAGCGCAGCATTCTTTAGAACGAGAATAAATTTGTAACGTTCAAGAGCGCAATGTACGTATATCTGGATGTATATCTGATCGTTTCAGTGGCATTTCCATTTTAGACGCGACCCTAATGTGGGCACAATGCCCGTTTACCGTAGCTCGAGATGAGCAAATGTTCTTGGCACTTGAGCGTGCGCGTGCCTCGTGTTTGGTTACGGACTTGATCACAGGCGGGGACATCGTAGAGAGCAGTTAACCTGTCCGATAATACGTGCCGATAATCAGGCATCTAGTGGATGACGGACGGCGGGATCGATGGAGCTAACGTAATTAGACGCAGCGATACGCGCCACTTAAGCGTACTTGAGTGGCTGCAAACGCAACTGATTGGTCCAGTTGCTGTTAGCGTTAGGACGTAACACGGCGTGGTCTACTTGTCCTCTCTCTCTCTCTCTCTCTCGCTCTTTGACGGGCGAAGAGACAGAGTGACCGTAAACGACGACGTCGCCCCGTCGTCGGCTTTAACGAACGTCCATTGAGCGGCCTCCTCGCTTCATTGAGTTGTCCGCGATAATATACTGCGAAACGGTAATCCGGTATCTGCCGGGATGTATTAAATGTCGCGCGAGACTCGAAAACCAATAAAAGCGCGATCGTGCCGATCGTTGCGCTTTAATGCCAATTCTTGTTCGTCGTTATCCGGCCCCGGCTATCGTTTTCACGGGGTTGTCGAGCCGATAACGCGCTATTTGAATACCGCCCGGCCCCGGTGCGAACGCGCGCGCGCGCGCGCTATTGCGATGGCTCTCGATCGCGCGGAATAAAAAGCGCGGCGTGGAAAGAGGGGCCGAATGATGATGCGGGAGAGAGGAGGCTATCGGATAATTAAATCGGCCACGGCACGTAAAGGACACTGATTGACGTGCGCGACGGCTACGTTCTCTCATTATTATTCGTCGAAACGACATAATTCGCGCGCTTCGCTTTTCGACGGACGCTATAACCGTGTCGTTCGACGGGGTATGTTGCTTCTCCGTCTCGCTCATTCATGCGAAACTCGAAAGACTATCACTAGCGTCATTCTATCCACATTCGATAAATGTTAAAACCGATGAATATTTCAAGAAAATATCGGCAAGATACTGTTGTGCTTTTGACATTTGTAATATCATAATATATTACGTTCGATATATTTCCATATTTATTAAGTAAATGTGTTTTGACTTTATCAGTAATTTATAATAATTATGCATGCGGCGGCGAGGCTTTATAAATATAAATCTGTTTTACGAGTGTTGGTATTTCGATAGACCGACATTCTCTTGCCTTATCGATCTATAAAACGGAGCTACTGGAAAATGCCAAGCAGCACGTCTGACGCCTACTGTTCCGTTCCACGGAGCGAAAGCTGATAAATTAATTGGATTGACCGTCGTGACTTGTCGCATACAAATCGGATCAGCGATTCCGTTACGATCAGCTGTTAGCCAATTTGCATTAACTCCACTCTTCCGTCCCTTGATATACGGTAGGCAACAGAATCTACTCAACGTATCACGTCGCATTTAAAAGTCACTTGCGAAAGATGAGCTTCTGTATACATGCGTATATACATCCGCAAATAACAAGTCAGCGAGCGAGATATGCAATGTTGCCTGGTACAACTCTACCTCTCGATTCCGAGCTTGAGCCGTTTAAATATATTGCACGCCCGGCGCACAAATCCTCCGACGTAATTCGAACGTACACGTGCGATAATGCAACGGATAGAGAAGCCCTTTGCGAAGCCGTGAAGATTAATAAAACACGCTACAGTTACTACGAGCAGCTGCGAGGCTTAAATTTTTTAAAACTACCACATGTTAAGACGTTGATCTACATCGCGTACCTTCTCTTGGAATATCATTTTCACTTTTCAGTAAAATACAAAGGCACGTGTTATAAAACGAAAGAGATTTTAACAAGACAATAAGGGACGACTTTAGACACATGATTTTTCAGTCTTTTACTATACACTGGGTCTTTCATGTCCCGGGTTAATTTTCGTCATTTTAAGACAAATTAAATATATACAAAAATTATTAAGTAATTCTTACATATACTTTAACATTTTTTAATTTAGAAAGTATGTATAAAGTTGTGTATTTAACAAAATTGTATATAAATATTGTAACTAATTACTTGAAGCTCCTAGTTTTTCGAATAAAAAAAAGCGCAAGGCACGGATGACCCAATCGTGTGTACTACACTGTTGAATCTGTAGTGTTAAATTTAATCTGATTTAATTCGCCACTGCTCCTACTCAATATATTGTTATTGTATACACTAAAACAATCGATAAATATATCATTATTTTAAAACAATGGAGTTGAACAGTTCAAATTGGGTTAAATTTGACACTATATGGTGTCAGTTTGGCACTAAATAGCGTAGGAGCAGTGACAACTAAAATTAGATTAAATTTGATACTACCAGATTTTTAACAGGGTAAGAGTTAAAAATAAGAATTAAATGTTCATAAATCATAAAGAAGGAAGCGTTTGAATATTTATACGGTAGTGTGTTTCTGAAATTATATACAGAGCATGGTTGTCAGATTTGCGGTTTTCCGCCAGAGATTACGGTTTTTGAAAACGAATCTTCGGTTCTCTGGCTGACGGAAAACATTTGATGATGCTTTTTTTTACATTTTTTGAAAAAGCACATTACAATACAGTAACAATTTTGAAAGTAGCAGGCAATCTTCAGCAAGATAAATGAAATCTCCGGTTTTTCAACCAGAGAAAACTAGCAACCGTGATACAGTGGCGTACAAAAGTTTCCGGCCAGTGACATTTTGTACTCTAATTTATAAAAAAAAGCCCGATAAAATTTTAATCATTATCAGATGTTAGTACAAGATTTCGTTATCCACATCTTGTATACTGAAAAAAATTTCTGGTTGAAAATGGACGAATCAGAAATTTCTGGTTACATTTATTAGAATTCTAGTTGAGATAACCGGAATTCTGGTTGATACTATATTTCTGGTAAAATCTACTAGAATTCTTATTTTTACCAGAATAATTATATTAATCAGAATTTTAGTTATCTCAAATAGACATAACCAGAAAATTCTTTCGTTCATTTTCTATCAGAATTACTGTTTAATCCAACCAGATCATTTTTCTCAGTGTACTGACTCCCTATAATGGTTCAAATTTTATCAGGCTCTTTTTATAAATTAGAATACAAAATGTTACTAGTCGGAAACTTTTGCACGCCACTGTATATAGTCACCGGGTACGGGTATCACGTGTGACTCATTAGTGCAGTAACGCGCCCGAAAGTTGATCTTTATTTTACGAGTTTTGGCACGATTTTCATTACGCGATCGCGATCGCCAGCGAATCATTAGCGACCCCTCACATGAAACATCGCGATTCCGGCATATGTACTCCGTTCGCTGCGGAATCTAGATCGTACGACACGGGAAAATTGGACGGGGGAAAAGAGAGAAAGGGAGAGGGAACTATATTCCGGCTTTTACGAGGCCATAGTGGCGTATCCGTTTTGCAGGGCACGACGTGCAAAACGATCGATAACATGCTCGTAACGTTATTACCAACAGGTATACGGAGGCGGGTAGCACCGGTACTACCGGCAATAATGTGGCTTTTACGCTCGTGGATGCTGATACTGCAACCACCAAAGTAACTCGGCGTTTGCTACAGCACGCTTCGCAAAAATAGTCTATTATGTGATATCTAATTAATTGGCATAAATGTAAAAATATACTTAAGGAATATAAATCTAATTAAGAATCATTTGTGACGTGATATCGGTTTAAATTATTGAAATTGTTTCTATTCTGTTTCAAGGCCGACAAATAATCGGCGCATAGTTTGCTTGAACTGGAAATTGTATAAATTCACAAAAAATATTAACGAAGGCCGAATATGGCATTTTTTGCGATTGTTTCTGTTCTTGCAGTTGATTATAAGTTTGACTTCTTTAAACTCGAGGCGCAGTAATAAGACAGCTCCGAATATTTTTATTTTTAAGTGAAAAACTAACAAAATTAGTTTAACGCATAATCTTGTGTATTTATATTTATTATTACATTGTACTTAGTACGTGTAACGCAATGAAACTTGAATCAAAATGAGATATACATGAATTACTAAACTAGTTAAACTTTAAACCGATCTATATTACTATGATTCTACGTTGAAGTTGTGGAATAGTTTGAAATACATATATTCGAAGATTATTGCACCGCCAATCGTTGACTTGTGGAACACTCGTGAGTAGAATGATTCTAGAAGTCATCAAAATTCAACAATAGTTTTTATGATAAGAAAAATAAAGAGTATTATTAAAAACAGAGAGATGTATATTAAAATTTAAGAAAAACATTAATTAACGGAGCGGTTTTTCTGTTGTGGAGTATAGGTACGTCTGCCTAAGTAGCGACATTTTTTTATCCGACTCTATGTATCGATTTCGAGTTACTTGTGAGTCTGTGGAACAGCGGAGAGTCTCTCGAATAAATCTCAGGGTCTTATGGGCTTTAATGGCGTTAAGGGATTGTGGTGCATTGATACATTTAATGGCGTTTTTGTGTTGCAGGGTCCACCGCAGCCTGGACAGCCGTTCAAATTTTCTGTCGGCGAATCCTGCGATCGTATCAAGGAGGAATTCAACTTTTTACAGGCCCAATACCACAGGTATCTTTCTTCGTTTCGTACAAACGTATTCTCATCGATTGCAGTCAATTGAAGATGTACGGATTTTGTTCACGATAAATAAAGATCAATATCAATACCAATTTGTCACATCTGTCTTCGACAATCCTGACAATTTGTATTAATCATGCAAGTTAAACTCTATAAACTTACATCTTCATTGTCTGTCAGCGATATTATTATTTATACAATTTTTTAAAATTAACGACGCGTATTTTTTTATTCTGGTTATTAAAGTAGCAATAAAGTAATCTTTGTAAAAAGTGATATCGATACAATTTGTCCCAAAGCTTTACGCGATCTCAACCGCAGTTTTTTTTTTTTAAAGGAAAGTTGTTGGATTCCCATTTTTTCGATACAAAAAAATATATATTTTCCCGCGGATAGTTAAGCGTGATGTAAATTCCGTTCAACGGTCAATAGTTTGTCGAACGGAGTAAACGTTCGCGTCCGTGGACACCATAGGGCCGTATCCATTAGGCGCTCGTGCAAATACCGCGTGGGTGCGCACGCGAAACGCACGAACTGATGTACGGACGTAGGCAGATAATTGATTGTCCAACCGGAAGCTGTGTACACCGAAGTATGCACACGGTCTGGAGAAGGAGCGAAGACCCCATTTGGATAGCGCATCTATGTGCATGCGTGCACGTATCTGCGATCGGTAGTAAAAAGGGTTTCCTCAGAGATCACCGCTCTTTGGCAGATTCGGAAGCGAAAAGCTCGCTGGTGCGTGACTAGTTTCTTCGATCGCTGCACTGAGAGAAATGTTTGGTACGAATAACCACGGTTTTGTTACTGCAAGAACTACTTTTTGTTGATGTGTAACCATTTATAAATTGTTGGTTACCACGGGTATTAATTTGTTGAATTTACTAAACAAACTGATGATTTAATGATAAAAACTGCTTTGTATGTTGTTCAGAGATGTTTTATAGTTAAAAATAGAATATTTTGTTACCTGAACAAAATAATTACATGGGAACGGTATATATCTCTTATTCTTTATATACAGAGTGAAATTATGTTTAGTGTTTTTGAACGTTCCTGGCTTGACAAAGATATATAGATCCAGATCGTGTGATTATTAATTGCCTTGAAAAAAAAATGTTGCCATAATGTGGCGAGAAGTACACGAAACTTGTACTCTAACTTCGTTTTACAATGTCGAATACAGGACGTCGAATTTCTCTTACGAGAAGACACGCCATCTCTGAAAGCTCCGCGAAACATTCCTCATTTTGTCATAATAGATTATTTTTTGGTAATTATTGAAAGAAAATTGAAAATTGCAACTTAATATCCTATATTATTATTTCACAAAACGTGAGTAACCAAATAAAATTGTACTGTTAAATCAAAAGATTTATATAATTTTGCTTATCTAATAAAAAATATTTGCTATTTTAACAAAATTGATGAATAATTCACTTTTTTTGTTATCATTATTACAACTTTTTTCTCAGTGTGAATTCACATCTCTATCTATCGATACGTTAAATTCACAGCGTTTCCGGGATTGCAGAAAGAGCATCGATATTCCTCCCCTCTTTCCCCCTTTTTCACGAAAGTTAAATATAGCATAATAGCACAAAGTGCTGACAACAAGAGAAAAATAATTACGATAATGACGCGATGATATCGGGCACGTTTCAAGCGAATAAATTTTATCTCGCGTTTAGAAATACCGCGATGAGAACAACATTCATAAATTTGGTGAATTGAGATATTAATCACGGAAAGGCAAAAATGCATTCCCCGACCGCGTGAAACAGAGAGGCTATCTCGGCCACGTGTTAGTAGGCGCGCGCATTCAAGCGCGCAACGTGATTCTCGATAAATCGTCCCGTAAATCGTTGGCACGGCGTCAATCTGAAATAATTAATCGACTTTCTGACCGTACGAGTATTGCCGTTTGCGTAACGAGAGTTGCCGCTCGCGCGAGCATGATCGTTAATACCGTGCTAATTTATCGCCTTATAGGTGAGATTACGCCGCGCAACGTATAGCGTGATTCGCCTTTCACGAATATTAAACGCCGCGTCGGAATTACCGCGTGCATTCTATCATTTCCTCGAACCGAATTAAAATCACTTCGCGTCCCGTTACGCGAGGCTTCTAAATTCCCCTCTTGAAAAAACGGGGGAAAAAAAAAACAAAATTTAGTTGTATTCGAGAAACTGCAACTTTATTATTGCGTCTCCGCGCTGAACTCCGCGATGACGACGAAATAAACCATTTTTACTCCGTTCGTTATCGTTGAAGCTTTTACAGTTCTACCTTTATTTTCTCTCGTTTCGCGATATATGGCGCGTGTTATACGGCGCGTTTCCAACTTAATGTCGCGACGAAGAACGACGAGCGGAGGGACAATGGCTCCGACGATTTCGAGGGCTGGTGGATATTAATGCTCTGTTCTTGTTCTTCTTACACAGCCTTAAATTGGAGTGCGAGAAACTGGCCAGTGAAAAAATAGAGATACAGAGGCATTACGTGATGGTAAGCCGGGAAAAGGATAAAAACGTAGAAAGGGGGCAGCGCGCGTATTACTCATACACACACGTCACATATACGCACATGCATACAAAGCCATGTACGAATCATCCTGCCGTTGTTCCCAGATTAAAATGCATTCGTTTTCGTCGCGCTTGAATTCGGGAGATATCGCTCGGTCGCGGTCGAGCTGTTTCAATTCTCGCGAAATTGAGAAGAACCTAAAAAAAAATAAAAAAGGGAGGGAAATTATTAAAAAACCGATTTGATTTTACCGAAATGAATTTTCGATATGCGCGGCAGCGCGACTGTAACGCTTTTATATTATACGTGAGAGTGCAATTAAAAGGAAAATGGTACACGGATCTTCAAAGAAATGTCAGAGGTATAATTTCAGGGAGATTGGATGAACGGTAGAGAGAAAGAACTCGGGGAAAATTATCGTTACGAGCATTGGCGTCGCACGTGAAAAGTGGTGGGAACATGGGGAGAAACGCGACGCGACGCGACGCGACGCACCCCCGTACTCGTTATCGTAGGTATACAGTCATGGAGCAACGGCAGCGGCAACAGCAGCAGCAAGCAGCAACACCAGCGACGGCGGTCGCGATGCACTCGAGCGTTACAGGCACATACGAACGCATTCGTTTGCCGCGGTACAAGCGGTTTTGTCGACCGCCGCGCCACCGCAAGATTATTTTCCTGCACCCCCGAAGCGCGCCGCGCCGCTGCGCTAAACAAAAATACGGCGCGGGCTTGTCGTCGTTAAAAAAGTTATCGCCACCGCGGACGGGGCGCCTTTGTCCCCGTTCTCCGATGTCGCTGTCGGGTAACATGGTGGACCGACCAAGTGAATATTAATATGCGCTTTAACGCGCCGGGGAAAAGCGCGACGCGACGAGGATTAACTCTTAATGAACCTGCGCACTGCCGCGCCGATTCTCTCGTATTGATTTTCTATTAACTTTCTTTTTGAAACGAGGTAAAGTGCTCGAAAACACATTTTCTGACGATTACATGTTTTTTTTTCTTTCTCCATAAAATGATTAATTTATCGTTCTCGATAATGAACAGTTTTGTTATTTAATATTTAACGACAAGTAGTACCTACCTAACGCGTTTGCGATTGTTTGTATTTGCATACGATTTCCTTGTTAATTGAACGCGATGTAAATTCCACGAATGCGTTTTTATGAATTATTCGCTCGCAATCGCGACGCTTCCAATATTCTCCACGGTCCACTTGGTAAACACGAAACTCACACACAATGTTACAATAAAACACATATACATATACACACGATGGCCAGTATATAACAATTATTATCAATGTTTGTTGCGGCTGCACTAATTGTGTGTTTTTAATGGCTTGGCTGTGCACCACCCCTCTGCAATATCCCTCAATTTGGGGGCGTGATAAAAAGAACGAACCGGTTCGGAAGGTTAAAAAAAATATATACCCGCGAAAAAATCCGGGACCAAATTAATGAATCGTTATACGATCGAACAATATTCGCATTCCGCACATTATATCGTATCCCTCGTTTACCACGGAGCCCAAGTCACAGACCCTCGACTCGTTGACGACTCGATAATCTCGTTTAAGCGGCGTTATATTATTCTCTATCGTTGGCCAAAAACGCGCCACGAGACTCCACCCTGGTCATGCGAAAGAGAGGGCCTCCCCCTCCCCCCCCCCTATCTTTATTTTGCCCCCACAGCTTTTGAATGTCGCCTGCACTTACTAATGTTTAGCTTACACGTGCGATTTCCTGCTTGTTCTGTCCAGTATTAAGTTGGAGCTGGAGAAACTCGCCCAGGAGAAGACGGAGATGCAGCGCCACTACGTCATGGTGAGTCCACACAAGCTTACGAAACCTATCGCAGGACCTATATCGGTAGTAATCGTATTAAACGTATAGGGTCATGCAAAGTGCTTTTCTTATTTCGCGTTTAGAGACGAGTCCTGAAAAATTTAGCTTCGCGCGCTCCCTCTTGACCGGAACCGTTGCAGGAAACATTTGACGTTTTAGCTCGCTCGTCAAATTTGCACCACGATGCGATGCCGAGGGGTATATCGAAGTTATAAATTTTATCTCGCGCATTTGTCTCGTTTACATTACGCGCTATAAAATTTAAGTACATATATCTCTAGAGGTGCGATTTACGATAAAAAAATATTTGTCTTGCGACATAAGAGGATGGCGGAATAATTTAGGGTGACATCATACACACGTTGCCGTGCGTCGCTTCTTCGCGGCTCCTCTTCCAGTTTTGTTTTTCGGCTTTGTCCCGCGAGAGTACATGTAGACGGCCGCGAAAGTCTCGGCTTACTTTCGCCCGTAGATCTTCGTTATCGCGATCCACCGTCGACCGTGCAAGTGTATGCATCTTCATTAAGCCGTGTGAAGCGTAAAGAGGTGCGCGCACCGCTTTCTTCATGGGAGGTCGAAGGTCGCCGAGAGTACCGGTTTTAATTTTACGCCAGTTGTACCGACGTCTCGGTGGATCTCCATTCTTTTCGTTTATCCATCCTGAACTGAAGTGCCTTCACACATAACGTGATAATTTCTGCAGATATATCGCTTACTGCGATAGCACTCCCCAGAGAAGCATAGATCTAAATCTTTTTTAGATCGAGGCACCGACGCTTCCTCGATTTGTAAATTTACCGCGAAGATATTCGTCGCGCTAAACCGACTGGAAGTTTATTCGAGAGATATCTCGATAGCGGCGAATGGAGCCGCGCGTGGTTCGCAGTGTTCGCACGTAAGTTCGCGCGCGGTCCGCCAAAGTTCGTTGGCCAAAGTTCGCGAAGCGTGCATTATAGGCCGGCGATAATTTATAGGCCGCAAGTCCGCGCACTCGGTCGATGCAAATAACTTGATATAAAATGCGCGGCGCTCGCTCTCGCGTGGACGTGGCACTTCCGCCGATTCACGCCGGCATGGCACGAAGATTAATCGCGCGATCGTCTCACGTTAGGTACATAGCGTGTACGTCGTGCGAGAAACGCGCTTATCTCGCGCGTCCCAGGTATGCCGGTCTTACTCTCTCAAACGGCTCGATCGATCTTCGCGCTCCCCCCGATCCTTTGTTCCGTACGTTCGCATCGATCGATCGGCCCTGCGACTCACGCCGCACGCGGCTCACGCATGTGACAGGTTTAAATGTATTGTACATATCATACTTTATTCCACTTTCGTTTCGATATGGCACGGGGAGCGCTTATTGTTCTGCCAGTTGCGCGGTAACGAACGTCGGCGCGAAACATAGCGAAACCACGGAATGCACTTAATCAAATTTCGATCGGCGAGCACGAAAGCATATTTATTGCGCTATCGTCCTATCGCGTCGTTTTATCATTGATGATTGATTACCGACGTAACAAGAATTTATCGTAGTATCGGGTTTAGGTCGGCGTTAGCAACAGGTACTCACGTCTCTCGGCTAAACACGTCCGTGTTCGTATCGAGCGGAGTCATTGATTCCTACGGGTGCAATCGTAACCGCGGTGCGTCGCGCGTCGCCCAGATACTTTTGTCGCCCTCATCGTCGATCAACTGCGAGCATCGAATAAAGTATCACCTTGTCGCGCGTCACGGTCTTGCTGCGATAATCACCGCAGTTTGCTTTCCTGCAACGAACACCGTCGTTTTCCCCGTAGAATTACGATGGCTCCATGTCCGGATATACTGCCGCGTTCCATGCATCTATATATATCCGGCGGTATACAGTAACACGGGATATCTCGCGTACATCGACGGGGTGTAACGTATAAAGCCGGGGTCCTCGTATCTGGCCTCCCTCAAATTTTCCACGTGACATCGCGAGGCAACGTTTACTGGCAGAGCCAGCCGGCGAATCTCCCGGGACTCGTTATCGATGGAGGCCATCGCGTATATACGTTCGTGCGAGCCGTCGGATCCCCGGTACGACATCGTTATACCACGACGGGTGTAGCCCCCGGCCACGGGGCGTTACGCCTTTACGACTCTTTCATGTAATTGTCGAGCTCGTGAACTTTTACGAGCGCGCGAACCGCGAGCGTGGCGGGAGATCGGCCGCGAAGCACTTCGTTCGTCACGCTCGCAATGCCACCCGATACATTTAGCGTATGTCCTCCGCTTCATATTTCCGCTTGCGAAACGTTAACTATACTTTCGTCGGGTGAGCGAGATTTTAAAACGTTTCTATTTAATACGGAAATAGTGTTGGAGGTAACAACGCGTTTCTAAGAGAATTAATTCCCGTAGTCGGAGTCGCCGCAAAACTGCAAATCAGGGAATTGTTGTAGAGAAATTGGAAACGATCAGGGAATTTTGAGAAATTTCCTCGAAAATAACAATTCTTGGCTTTACGGAAGTTTTATATATATACATATATATCACACTTGCGCGGTAATTTTGAAATACTACTAATTAAAAATGTAAGCAATGTAAGCGACATTAATAGTAATTTATATTGCTATGTTAAATTAATCTCTCGATAAAATATTTAATGGGTCCAAATCGGGATGAAAATATGTACAATACGATTTCAAAATATTATGAAGTTTGATTTGAAAATCAGGGATAAGTCGTGAAATTTTAGGATGAGGAATTTGCGACAACCCTGATATGCGATATGTCGAGGCTTGATTTGCTGAGTCATTTCGTAGCACGAATATACGAGCGAAAACGCAAACCATTGCAGTCGTAGGCTGTGGTATGTTCTTGATTAAGCCGATTCGACCGCGAAGTAATGAGATTGCAACGAGGACGAAATTTGCAAATCGTGCACGAACAGAAACATCGTCATCGCCTAAAGAGTACGTTCAGGTACGATTTTCATTGGGAGACGATGAAAGGCATGATAAGAGTCTTTTTATCTTTCTCTAACGCGAGAGGGGACGAACCAACATGTTCGTGGGGTAGATACCGATCGTGATCGATATCGTTCGCCTGCTCGTGAATTGAAAAGAGATTGCGCCATCCCAGAGTCGTTTTCGCGATTCGATCGGTCACGATTAGAGGTGACTATCCACGGAGTAAGTCGAGGAGTAAGTTTTCAGCTAATAATTCAACCTAAATCTTCTCTCGAACTGTTTCTCGAAAGAGAGCATTTTATACGAACGTAGATAGAAACCTGAATTATTTTCAACCGAGAAAAGACGAAAAGACGAAAAGACAAATGTCGGAATAGTACCGAACTTCCGTTTAATTCCTCTTAATTGTTGATATAAAAAATGGCGCAACTGTAAAATATTGATTCTACAAAGTATTCGTAATCACGTCGCATCGAGTTTACGAGTGGCTTCGTTCCATTATCGTAACTGACTATCGCTGTATTCCTTCACAGTATTCCTTCACTCGTATTAGACATCTCGACCGCGAGAGTGGCGTTTCCAGTCTCGTGATAATTAAGATCCTGATCTCCCGTCTCCGACAGTCTCCCTCCGTCAGTGAAGTCTATTAATTAAAGACCAATTGCTTCGTTGGGGTCTCCAGCGGCGAGAGACAATCTTCGTGTAGCTGCTTCTTAACTATTTCTTTCTCTTTCCATCCTCAAATCCTCCGAATGCACGAGAAAGAGAGAAATCTTTCACCCAGTATATTTTAGATAGTAAATTAAAAAAAAAACGATTTAAAATTAGTTCCCTTTGATAAGTTCTATAAAAAAAGTTTAATGATAAAAAAACAAAATATACGTCATTGATAAATTTTTAATTGCTTTTTTTTTTATTTTGTTCTCGACGTTTTATAATAATAAAGTTGATGTATTTAAATATAATTAGATTTCACTATATGTTAACATAAGCTACGAGCTTTCAGCAAAATTATTATTTTCGCAAGAACAGAGCCGATTGAAATATACATTTCGCGATTTATTGATAATGCTCGCGAGCGCGAATGTAATAAAAATATGGGCGGATTAATTTATATTTAAAAGCAGAGCGTGCACGGGGCCAAATTTCTACATTTATATTTTCTATATATACATTGTAGCGTTCGCAATTTACAAAATAATCGTAATTTCGAAGATAAACCGCGCCGAATGAATATCGAATTATTAAAACAAACGGGTTTAATTAATCGCGGCCTGTCCGAAGCAGATTCGTAAAATATTCATCCAGACGAATTTGCCCGCGTTTGAAGTATTAACGGTAATTCTATCGCATTGCGAAATAAATATTACCGGTGTCGTTAAAATCGTAACGTCGAGAACATTGCGTTCGAAAGCGGCGCGCGAGACTGTCGTCTTCGACCGCGTCTCGACGTCTATCGGCGTTTATTACGCTACGTTCCCCTCGTATACGCGAGAAAAAACTCTAAACCGAACTGTCGTAGCCGCACCGATATATTAAAACGCGGTTTAGTACGCTCTTTACGATCACCGAGCAATAAAGCCCGTTTCACAACGGTCGTTGATTCCGCCGGGGAATAATGCGGCGACTATATTCAAGACGCTCGTTAAAATCGCGAACTGCCGGATTTTCTCTCTTTTCCTCCTTGCCGATCTCGTCGTTACACGCTACCCTTCCCCACCGTCTGTTGGTATATTCCGCTCTCGGGGAACGGAAATGCCTGTAAACCATCTACCACAGCAACAGTTTACGATAAATATCTGCGCGCGCTATTTTGTCGCGGAGTCTTTACGACCAGAAATCTCATGCGTGCGAAATGAGAACCGCTGTTCGGTAAGCGAATTAGTTAAAGCCAGCCCCGGCTGAGTCTTGTACACACGATGTAGAAACGATGTTACGAGAAACCGGTCTTTGGTCGACACGCATACGCGCGCGCGCAAATACAAGCCTTTTCTCCCTCTCGTCTCTCCGGGGAGAAGGAGAAGGAGAAGGAGAAGGAGAAGGAGACGAGAGAGGGCCGTGCGCTCCTTTCTCATCCTTCGTTTTCTTCGTTTTTCTCATTTTCTCGACGCGCTTATCCCTCTTACCGACTGACTGCGGCCTCGCATTACGGCTCAATTTGGTCCGCTTTTCGTAATCTCGTAATCTCATTTGATCGATATAATCTCAACCCTGCAATCGTTGAAGCAGGCCCTTAAGGATCCACCGCGAGGCGCTCTCTTCCTGCACAGCCATCATTATGGATTCAAACAGCATCTTGGTTTGCGAAACTCGATAATTCGATTAATCCCCGCGCGGAGTGGCTTTACGTTTTATTCAATGTGATATTTATATGCCAATTTCAATTATTTATCCTCTGATCGTTATGTATTATATAATACATATTATATATCAAAATAACACGTCGTATATTACGACGAATTTTTCTTCGTCGCAATGAAAGATGAAGTCGATGAACATGTACTTATACACGGCATTGCATTCGTGGCGCAAATTTAATCGAATTCCCTTAGCTTTCTAGAGAGAGAGAGGATAAACGGGAATTTTACACGGTAACGTTTTCTTCGGGATAGGATAAAATGACAAAGCCGTAACATAAATACGAAAATTGGATTTCGTGTGAGCAACCTTCCGGCAAAGTTCAGCTTTTGCATGAGAAAGTCGGCGTTACGCTGCTAGTTTACGCACGCATCACCTTACGCTTAACGTCGACGTGGCTTCGTTAACGAAACGCATATAACGATGTAGCTATGCAACACTACGCTTTACTAATTCCATACTAACATTGTAATTTATGCGATTACGTTCTAATCTGACTGTTTCATTTACTTTTGCAGTATTACGAGATGTCGTACGGGCTTAACGTGGAGATGCACAAACAGGTAAGAGATTCAAGTTTTTGCATACATTGTTTCAAGTAAATGCTGTAAAGAACGATATCGTCGTCTCATGATCGATACGCGACGTCAGTTGGCGGTGATTTATTAATCGCTCAGTTGGCACGTTGCGCGCAGCTTTGGGCTTTAATCCAAAATTAAAGGGCCGAACACGAGGAGAAAGCCCCGATTACGGGGTGTTTGCGACCCTCCGGGATCTTAGCTATTGAATAAATATGTAAACAAGGTAATAACATGCAAATAGCAGCGCGGCCGGGGTTCCCGTGTTGCCTCTTGCGCAAAATCTTGCGCAATGAAAAAAAAGCAACCTAACTCGACTTTCAGACTTTTATTAAGAACTACCGAGATTACCGTGCTTTCAGAAAGCACTCGGGGCAAGTCGTGGAGCTTTTTACACTTCTTTCTCCGCGGTGCACGTATAATATCTACAAATCAAATAACGTACTCGTATTCTGTTTTCTCGTATAGAGCATCGTTAAACATCTATATGTATTATTTTTACATATATTATTTTGGTACCGAGATCCATTTTGAGAATCTCCATCACAAAGATTTCAGTAAGCTCCTTTTGTATCTATATTCATCGTATATCGAACGGATCATTTGAATTTTTTTATTTTCTCGCATGTGCATCCATTGATGGTAAACCATCGGCGAAGCAGTTTTATCTTCTTTCGAAGCGGTCCCTACTCTCTTTTTACGACGAGAGAAAGGTGGTACCCAGTCAAATAAATTAGGGTCGACGTGACTCGCGAGGGAAAAGGAGAAACGCGCGTTAATCGATCGGCAACGAGAACTCCATCTCTTAATTATAGGCCGCGTCTGATAGAAGTCAAACGCCCCTCTCTCCGGGCAAGCTCTCTTGACGTAATTTTATACAGAAATCCCGTTCAGGGAATCGCATACTTCCGTTGTTGTTATCCGCGGAATGGATTTTCGATCCGCCGTTCGCGAAAGGTTTGAGAAATATCTCGTTTTGAAACCGACGTACAAGTAAATTCGTCGAATTATCCGACAAGCCAGCCAATATCGACGACGTAGCTCTCGAGTGTCCTAGAGAAGGCATTCTGTACACGCTATCGAACAAGAATCTCGATCACGAATTCCGTATAGAATAAATGGCGATCCCTCTTTCTTCGCCTACTTCGATATTCTCGCCCCCTTCATCGACACTTCACCATAATCTATCTTGGGCGTGGGCGTGCAGCGACGAGTAATGCTCACGTTTATTGAATATTTAACAGCTGAGCCCGTTATTTCCTTCATCCCGCCCTCCACCTCGTCCGCTTTGTGTCGTTCCGCCTATTCTTTCTGCCTCCTCTTCTTTTTCCGGCAGGATGCGTCCCTCAAATCATGAATAAGACCTCGCGCGTTCGCCTCACGGCAGCTCTGCCTACAAGGCACGAAGCCAGTAGCGACGCAAGTCAGGTAGCAGCTTGCTTATCTCTTTTCCTGAGCAAGGTATTCAACCGAGAGATCGTGTTGACGCGTTTGCAAGTATTTCAGATAGGACGTGACTGGAGAAATTGAACAGCAATATTACGCGATCCAAGGCATTTGTTTAACTTATTTATTTGATAAATTTCCATCCTATATACGTTTGACACACGTCATTTATTTATCCCTCCGCTGGCAATACATTAGTTTAGTCAAATGAACAATTTTTTTTTCTCCGTGCAACATGAATTTTAACTGACTCTTCCGTCAGTATTCCGTGAGTCTTCGAGAAGCAAATTTTTTATTGATTCAGATTATATAAAAAAAATTTGAAAAAATTTTGGTATACTTGTCTGAAAGTTTCAACAAGTTTTTACCATCATAGAAGTCGAATTGTACTTTATTTATACTTTTTACACGTTTACATTTATGTATCAAAATATACGAAAAATTCGTAATCAAAATGTCGATGATACCTTTAAAGATTCCAGTTGTCAGAAAAAATATCGTTAAGTAGGAGAAAGAAAATATCAATATATGTAAAAGAGTAGACAAATGGAAAAGAAGAAGAATTCTATATTCTGAGAGACCGAATGGCAATTTTTCTGTATGATCGAAACGTGGATTTCCGCCTGTAAGTCTCGTAGAAAAGTTACGTATTAAGGTTGAATGAAGAGCATAACTCTTTCAAGACTCCGTTCACGAGGACATTCGTGCCGGTACGTGGAGGAACAAGCCGCGAGATACGTACCGTGTGAAATGTGGTATCGGAGCGATGGAATATAAATTCCGATAGGAAATCGCAATACGATCGTGTCGTATCCGCCGTTTTATGCCCCTGATATCCTCGAGATAAGCACTCGAGGCGGCGGCACTCTGAAATATACGACGTGACGGTCTCGTGCACTTTTCTGGATCGGGGAATGACGATTATTATCTGCCGTCACTTTTAATTCGGTTACGATTTATCGCTTCTGGTAGCCGGACGTCGGGGATTTATTATTATCGGCCGGGCATTATCACGCGCGATTTACACGCTCGTACACGCGCGCGGCGTACACCGCTCCGCGCCGCTCCGCGTCGCTCGCGTATATATATATCCGGTATCTCATATTTATAAAATCGAAATGCCACGCCGGTATCCGCGATTAATAGCCAGCTCCGCGCGTTTATAACGAGGCCGGCCGCGTTGTCGCGCGAGCGCGCGATGGAAATAAAAGGAGAAAAAGAGCGCGGAACGAGAATGAATAACGGATCCGGCGATGCGAAAGAGCAAAATATCGCGGGCGCCCGGGAATTATCGGGTGTTACATTAACGCCGACAACGACGACGACGACCGGTTCGGCAAGTGTCCACCAGGCAGTGAACGCGTCCGCGTTCTCTCCCCCTCCGTTCTCCCCCGGAGGTTATTAACGTCGCTAATTCTCGGCAATTACTGTCATCATCGTCAGCCGTCTCTGACCGCAACCGAGCTGTTACGTTTTCCTGTTACACCTGTACGATAATCATTGTCAGCCGGAATCACGCTTGCCGGATAGTTTATGGATATATCGCGCGGCTATATAAACGCCCACGTTGACCGGGCAGTTCTTCGATTGGCCGTATAATACATGAATTAATAAGGTAATCGCTACTGTGGCTCATTTAATATCGGATATTATAGGTATGCATAGTAATTATCGATTTCTAGAAGTATCGACGTCGCGCGAGCGCGGTTATAGTTACGAAAACGTTTAAACGTATCGACATCTCATCATTGCCGCGGGGGAACGTCATATTATTCACATTTTTCTTCTAGTTCCTCTCGGCGCGGGCATCGATAGGGGAATCGAGGTATCGAGAATGTTGTGTGTGTGTCACGATGGGTTATAGTTTGATTTTGACCCGTTTCGCGTCGTACCATCGTCGGCCAATGACCACGCGGTCGCGCGCGTTCCCCACGTTTTTATTTGCAGGAAGCGATGCGTATTGTAAACGCTTTCAGGCATTACTCTCGATTTTACTAACGCTATTACCGGCGATTCCGCAGCCTGCACGTACGTGTCGGGGCAGTCGGAAAATTCACGCATGAAAAGTATGGGCGGCCACCACGAGTGATTCGATTTCGTTGTTTTGTTCGATTCGCTGGTTCGCTCCCCCTCGCGCGGCGCACTCCATCTCGCCCCCGCCGCCGCCCCCGCCCCTCCCGGCGCTTGTCTCCCCCGCCGGGTTGTCTCTCCATATCCATCCCATATACAGTACGCTCATTATTCATTTATCGGTTTAACGAGCACGTCCGCGATAAAGCGTCGCGAAATATCGATATCGGATGGTCAATACCCGCTCGGCTCGCTCGGTCCCTTGTTTGGCGCGTGCTCCACCTTTCACTCGGAAAAACAAAAGATCGGCCGATCGCGATTTCGCCCGATGTATCCGAGATGCGTACGCTTTTCATACTCGTTAACGAGATAACGATGACGGTCGCGGGAAATTGTCGAGCGATTTTGAGATCTGGTCGAACAAAACGAAACGTTTAACGCGCGCGCGCGCACGTTCGTAAAATTGTACGCCTCTGTATATTTTTTATCGAGAACGTTTGGGCGTTGCGTTTGAGGGAGGGAAAAAAATACGCGACGCTCGAGGAATCTCGTTGGGCGCTTCATGAATAACTTCTCAAAAGCGTCCGGTAGCTCGTCATCTCTTGCTCGTGATGGAGAGAAAAAAAGAGGGAGGGGGTGTGAGAGAGAGAGAGAGAGAGAGAGGAAGAGTGACTGCGCGAAATGTGTGCGCGGCCGTCGCTTTTTTTCCCGTTTTTATTGTGTCTGCAGTGCCACTGGTTTGATCGGTCGGGCCGCGCCAGGTGGAGGCGGAGG